TGCAACTACAAATAAATGAAGGGCATGACTTTATTTAAACAGTTCAGTAAAAAGTAACAAACAACTTTTATAAGCTCATTAGACACTAGTCACAGGACACCAAACCCACAAAATCTAATTGCATAAATTAAGTGATTCTACAAATATTAATACGTACAAACACATGGAATATTAGTAACAATACATTTAAAAAATACAAAATTGAAGACACTTATCTATGCTCACATTCGTACACTTTGTATATTGTATGCGCAGCGTCTCAAACCACTATTCACAAACAATGTCTATTACAAAACAAAAGACACAAAATGCTATTTAAACTAATTTAATTTATCATGTCCGTGAAATTCTACACCACGCATTAAACCATATTCATTCCCCCGCGCATCATCAAGGCGGCAACCCCCTTCCGTCTCGTAGACGTGATAGTGCTGCAGTAGCCATAGGCGCTGAACCCCTTCAAGTTGCCCACTAGTTACCGATGTACGAGTAGTAGAAGTTCTTTACCCATTACTTAGCATTTAATGACGCGTCACTAATAATGAGTTCGCTTCAGCAAAATCAAAAAACAACGAAGAAGGTTTGTTTTTACTGAAACTAGCAAAATATTGAATTGTGTTCGATTATGTCTATTCTCATACTGCGCATTATCTGTCTGAAATTCTCACAACCAGTGAACTAATATTATACACAAAGGTGGACGAATGTTTAGCTAGTGAGTGCGGGAGAATTGAATAAAAAGGTCTACGAAATAAGTATGTAGATTGTCGTAGTCACGAGCAAGATTAATGCTTCTGTCTGCCAAGGTGCGGATCCTGAAAATATTGAGAGGCTTTCCATTGTTTAAAATGAATAATTTATTGTCAAATTTTTAATTTTCTAATCCTACAGTTCTTCTTACTAATCATTTATGAATTTAGTAGTTATGGCGTCCTGCGATTTTTCACTGGAGCAAGTCAAATATTATTTCACATTTTAATGCAAAAGACCAATTCCTACAAAACGTTCTTCAGCTAAGCGAGATAATTGCAGGTTTTTAAACGATCTGAAGCTGAAAATGTATGAAATGTGTGTATCCAAATTTTGAGAGCCAAGCAGAGAAGTCAGAGAATTTCATATTTTTTCGGTGTTGTGTTTAATATTTGCTCACCAGTTTAGATATTAATTCACCTAAGAAATAATTAGTAAGGTATTCGTGAACAGTGGCAAAGCAAGGTTCAGTACAGCAGGAGTGGGTATTCATAGTGTAACCTCCAGAAAAACACACACCAACACAACCCAGCTTAAATGATAAATAACATAGCCGACGGCTGATCTCACTGACGACACTACTTTAGAGGTTGCCTGAAATGAAGAGTTTTATGGATTCGAGAATTTTTCGTTTAAAAGTAGCAAATATTTTCCTATGTATTGAACACATTTAATTATGACTGCGTAATTCAGTATATATTCGTAATATGACTGCGCACTTCCACGCATTTCTAAAAGCAATCCAGACTTCTGAGGTAGATATATTTTAAATTTTTGAAACGCACAGTACGAACATTTTCGTATATAAAGTTAGAAAAAATGTGTGTTTATGAGCGTGGTCTGAACCCCACTTCATTACGAAACTTGAACATACTGGTGCTGCTTCTGAGGATCTCCTGTTTATATTTATATATATATATATATATATATATATATATATATATATATTGCATTTTTTCGTTTTCTATCTTTTTTTAATTGGCCCTCTCTGAACGACTAACTGAATTTGCTCGTCTTGGTGAGGTAAATTTGTGGCTTAGCAGTTGGAGAATGTCCTCTCACGCTTCTGCTATTCTATTCGCGAAGAAGTCCAATCCCTGTCCATCGGCTTTTAAAAAGTTTCCTAAGAGAACACTGCATCTATCTTTAATCGCAATATCGTATTTTTATGAATTTTTGTATGAAATAGAATCAGGTCACTTCACATGGTTAGGGACATCCGTAAACGTACAATTTCGTCTCCTAGCCCGCCGATAGCCCCTCCCCCCATTCTTAATCCCCTCTTTTCTATAGTAAGGTTTATCAACTGCGATGGGCCGCTCACAGTAGCAAGTTGCCATCAGGGCCTATCAATTCCCCTGTTAAAACTGGGCAAAAACTACAGGGTGCTTTGTTACGAGCGCAAGTGTCGCACGGTGCTGCTTTGCGGAACGTTTGTAGACTTTGATCGATACAAAATTGGTGCTTTTAAACGATGTAAAATTAGCACTTAAGAAGAATAGTTAATGGTGTGTGCATGAAAAAAATAATTTTAAAAAAGCGTCAGCGCGACAAAATAAAAATATAGCGTCGCGTCTCCACGGGACGCTCCTACGAAGTCCCGTCAGCCCAATCCTGGCTCACGCGGCATGTAAATAACGTTGGCAAAAGTTTGTGTTGTAGTTCCTGCAAGGAGGAGCAGGGTAGAGCTCTCAACTGGAAGAGACGCCACCAGTTAATATGGGAGTTGAAAGGCCCTGGTTGCCATGCTCGAGTGGCCCGTGGATGAACGGGGACCGTTCGGTGAGACGACTTTGTGTGGTTGTGCAGGCGCAGGACGCCCGCCATCGCAGGACCAGTGGCCACGCAATGAAGGCGGGCAGCGAGGGCGAAGGAATCTGAAGAGCCACGCCTCTACCTTGCCCTCGGAGGGGAAGCAGCTCTTGACCTGCAGCGAGTGCAGTGCCACCTTTAACACGGCACAGAAATTGGCACGTCACATGATTCTGCATACGGGAGAACGACCTTATCAATGCGACGTGTGCGGGAAAACTTTCGCTCGGACTCACAATCTCATAGGGCACCAGCGGGTGCACACGGGGCAGCGACCGTACAGCTGCGACATGTGCGGAATGACCTTCAACCAGGCAGGAAGCCTGGCCCGTCACAGGCGCGGTCACACGGGCGAGCGCCCGTATGCGTGCGATGTGTGTGGAAAAGCTTTCATCTCGTCGAGCGATCTTGGTGTTCACAGGCGTCGGCACACGGGGGAGCGACCCTACCGTTGCGATATTTGCGGAAAGACTTTCATGCAGTCGGGGGGCCTGCGGTATCACAAGGGCACGCATGCGGAGGAGCACCCGTAAACGTGGCGTGCTTGTACAGGGAAAGCTTTTGATTATACTGCGATCTATGCAATTCTGCCCCCGGCAGGTATCAGCTGTTGATGGTTTCATCCAATCGGGAGCTTGAACGTCACCATAGTGAGCTCCTGATTGGATGAACAGTCAACAGCTGACTCCTGCCAGGGGTAGAATTGCGAAAATCGCAGTATAGTCAAGAGACCTTAGCTTCTGCAAGCTAAGCTGACGGCATAAGGACCGTTCGGCTGCGGTAGTGGCCTCGCCCCTGCTTCCCGAAAAGAAACTTGCAGGAGCATCAAATCATCCTGCCGGTTTGTCGTGCAATTAGCGGAACGTTAGGACCCTTCTGAAAAACATTGAGGAAATATTTTCCGTGCTTCAAGAACGCTTGTACCTTCCTGGAGGACCACAATTTGTCAATAATGTGATCAGTCAGCGGAAGCATGTATTAGAAGCGACGGGGAGGTACCCAAAGCCTTTCCTTTCTGTTGCCCTGGTAGAGCCCTGACTAATTGAAGAACGTTGTCTACGCGTGGGAAACTTATCTCCCTTACCGTATTATTGCGCGTCGTTGCCTCTTGAGTCGGTGAAGGAACCGTTCATTAAATTATGTGTATGTATATACACAGTATTGTACACGTAAATTGTCACATTCTTTATATAATTCATATATCAAATGGCATGCCTATTTTCAGGTTAGATTTGGTTTGTAGTATTACCTCTGTGTAGTCTATTCGCTTGAAGTGATTTCTAGTTTTCTTCGGTCATGAGGTACATTTTGGAATATATTTTTTGATTCCATATGATGTAATCAATTGGTGTAAGATCTTGGTTTTAAACTGGTGGTGAAGGAGCAGATAAAACCATTGCCTTTAAAGAAAATTAATATACAATTCACAAAATCGATTTGTCACTTCAAAGTTGATACGTCTTCCTCGTAGGTCAAACTGATGAATTTTGATTTTTTTGTTACCTTTTGCCCCGAACTGTTGTTCACCATGTGTCGATTTCCTAATAGAAACGTGGTGACGATGGCATGTCAAATTTAGGAATATTTGGCTTACACACATACAGTCGTTTTTAAATACAGATATTGCTTTATAATGTATGGTGTATTTTTTCAAATTATTGGTACGGAGGTCTGAGGAGCCCTAAACTTGAGTGTTCCATTGTAGATTTACCATTTCATAATTTGTGGACTGACTAAGCCAAGGTCTATTTAGGTTTTTGTTCTTTCATTTTAATATGCTTTTGATTATTATTTCAGAAAATGACGACAATGCTTATGGTGAAGAATTATTGAAGGGTTGATTTTGTAGTAAATTGTAAAATGGAATGCAGATTATTATAAAAATAAACAAAAAGGACATTAATTGTCGTTTAATGTTGCTTTCTTGTCACATTCTGTAATAATGTAAATAATAATAATAATGATAATATAATATACTATAATATAATAGTCGTGGGTCACTGTGGCACAGTCGGTTGCGGCAGCCATCGTCTGCGCCGAGGACGCTGCATATTCGAGTCTTGCGTAGGCAATATCGTGTTTGTGATTGTCCCTTCACCCCTAATCATCCTATCACCCGACAATTCATAATTCAAGGCTTAACAATCTGGTCTTACCAAGGGATACAGCCGAAAAAGTTAATCCCCAGAATGATTGTGAATATCTACCGGATAAAATATGACTTGGCCTCGCAAGATAACATTTAGCATGGTTTTAACCCAGATATGCCTGACGTATATTTAGGTCACTTGTATGGTCGTTAGGTAGTTCTTTTTGTTCCTGGAAGATGACAGTAGCTCAGGTCGCGTCTGGAGTCTGTAAATGGCCGATTCATGTTTGAACGTGCTCATTTCTGTAGTGACGCTTTTATTTGCGCAAGCGTGGAACTAAAAGCGTCCTGAAAATGGCTTCATCGTCGCGCTCTAGAGAAGATAAGTACGTACTGTTCATATATTGTTCAAGGAATTAGTTTGGAATTGATTTCATTAGAAAGAAAACATTTCAAAAATCATATAAACAAATTCAGTATTTATTCATTGGATATTGTGTAAAACTTTGGTGTTTTGAAGGTCTATAGGAAAATGTACTTTTTTTAAATCCGGGTAATTGTCTGATTTCTATTTGTATTTTTAATCGCATTTTGATACATCTTTGCAAAATATAGTAAGTACTGTAAAATTTACCTTTTTGTAGTACATTTACACTGAATGAAATTTTGACTCTTTTTGGAGGGAGGTATTCTTGTAGTAGGCGATGGGGCTGTCGATGTTTTCATTCAGCTTTCAAATAATGCCAACGAAAATGTAGCTGACGAGGACTCAGAGGAAGTGGATGGTGTTATTCCAAACTCTTCCAGGGTCACAGCTGAACTATAGATCGACGAAAACGCCATGCGCCAAGGTGAGGAAACCCCGAGGGCTAAAGATAGACCCGCGCCATCTAAACCGAAGAGGAAAAGATGCCAGAAGACATATGATTGGTGTAACTTTTTTTACATTGTTATATGATGGTATGGCCGAAAAAATGGCAAATGATTTGAGTCCCATGGGACTATTTTTCATGTTTTTTACGAATACAATTTCCTACATCCTGGACGAAACAAATCGCTATGCTGCCTTGCATAATATGTTGGGTGATATCTCTACAAATGAGTTGTATTTTTATTCTGGGGTGTTGTTATTGAGTTGATATGTTCCAGAACCCACAAGAAGAATGTATTGGGAAAATGCCCTTGACACACTAAACGAACTCGTAGTGACATCGATTTCCAGCGATTCTTCCGAAAGTTTTAAATGTACATGTATTGTGACAAATTTTCATGTGTGCGACAATGACAATCTCAATAAAGAAGACAAGTACGCAAAAGTTCGTTCTCTTTATGATGCATTGAATAGTAATTTTTTAAAGCGTGCCCCGCACGAGGAAAACCATTCAGTCGTTGATTCTGTGGTGTCTTACTACGATTGTCATGAGCTCAAAACGGGTCATTAGAGGAAAAAACATAAGATACGGATATAAAATTTGGGGTGGAGCCACATCGAACGGCTATGCAATTTGGAAGGATCCTTAACAAGGGAAACCCACAACCCTAAATCATACTTACGGAGATTTTGTTTTAGGGAGGAGTATTGCCGTGGCCTTAGGTGGTGAATTTTCCTACCATTTATATTTTGATACGATTTTTGTAGCACTTCCATTGTTGGAAGAACTACAAAAAAGAAAAAAATAAGGTCAACCTGTACAGTGCGCGACAATTGCATCGCAAAAAGTCTCTTGAAAGATATTTATGCAATGAATAAACGTAACCATAATTTTTTCTTCGATTTTATTAATCTGTACAATTTATGCACTCATGGATAGGAGTAATTTATAATTATAAATAATAATAATAATTAAAATTGTTAGGTGATGGAGATTTTCTGACCTGAAACTGAGAGCATGTTGGCCATTTAAAATGCTGTTACTTCCACCGAAAATACAGGAAAAGGGAAAGATCCGAACTTCAGTATGATAAAAACGGAAGATATAACATGTAGATCTTATGATTTCAAGATGTGCAGCCTAAGCACGGGCAGATTACACATTGCGCCATGACCAAATCGCTTCTATATACCAACAATTCGCCACAAGCCATAAGTTTAGTGATTATCATGCACACTACCGCATATACAAAACAGAACCTGCGTTGAAACATATTAAGGTCAGAATTTGTTTCGACCGCAGTTTTGTCTCGCAACACCGTGGAACATTACAGACCGGCTTGTGTAATGATTCCCAAGGAGGAGGAAAAAAAAAACAAAAACAAAAACAAAAACAAAAAAAGAAAAAAAAAAAACAAAAACAAAAAAAAACCTATTTGGTATTGATGTCCCTTTCAACAAGAACATGCAAAAGGCGTTCACTTAAATAAGTGCAACGATCGGGTATATCCAATAGAAGAAGAATAAAAGAAGGACCGTGCTTTCATTTTGTCAATGTTTAATTTAGTTAATTTAAAAAGTATTTTGTTCTTTGTGTTGTGCCATTGCACAAGTTTTCCCCTCCGTATACCCGTGCGAGAACTCTCGCATGTTATACTCCACACTCTTCTCTATCCTATTTCCATTGTAGTTGTTAATGGAGCGTATTTGTTTAAAATGTTTAAAGGTAAGCCCCAACTTTCATTGTACTAACACCATATCAAATCAAAATACAAAACAATGCAATTGATGGGGTAAAGAAATTTTCACTAAAGATTTATTCAGTATTACCGTGAGATTTCTGGGAACAATTCACAACACTCCCTTAAAAATATTTAACTAATTGTTCTATATTCTTTAACAGTCAGCTTTTCGCTTTTCGTGATAGTCACAAAAATATTAAAAAAGCTCTTCACTCTGGAGAAAGATACGTGACTAAATACGCTGACTTGAAACTTCACCGAATCACTGCTGATAACGAAAATACTGGTAGAGATAAAACAAACCAAACCTAACAAGTCTTCACGTTTCTCTGTACACCCACATCCCTCCACAATTAGGTAAACAGCACTTGTAGATCTAGGCAAAACGTTAAATAAGTGTTTTCACCACACAAGAAACAATCTTCATCGGTTTCAGGCAACTATTAATAGAACTTCTAGTTGTTGCTGCGAGAGCGAATCTTGAATTAATAATTATGGAAAGAAACTCCGTTAGTCTGCGCAAACCACGGTGTTCCCAGCAAGCGTGAATAGTATAAGATAGATGAGTCTAAGCCTTTTGAGCGTGACCTCACAAAGATGGCCACCATCAGTGAAGTACATTGAGAGTATCGATAAGTGCGGAACCAGCTAAAATGTAATAGAATGTACGAGACTATCTCACCTTGTAGGTTGTTTTTGAGAAACATTTCTTCGAGGCCTTTTGGCCTCAAAAGTTTAGATTTTAAGGCCCTAGAACGCTTCATTTAGGGAGTTATTTAACGATTTAGGTGCCTGAGTGCTACGGGTTGTATTTGACATGAATATTTAGATGCGTTTTTTAAAGCAAATCCTTCACATTTTTAAAGTCAAAATGCAATTCATCACTTCTCCGTGAAATTATCTTTCTTTAGAGACATCTTTTATAAAGATTGGTTGCGTGTGAGTGCCACAAAAGGTATGTATACTACTGAAATAATATAGGAGACGATGATAATAATAATTATAATAATGGCAACAAAAATAATGTAGTCGAAGAAGTGAAGCTAGAGACTTGCTGCCGAATGTTATTGTCGACACTTTACGACTGATTGAGCAAGAAGTGATTTCTTAAAATAAGCTTTTTCTTACAGAAGGCCATGACCATATTTTGTAGACGTTCCTTATTAACGCGAAATGAGTATTTCCTTAACACTACTACGCGTTTTTTACTTTCAAGTAACATCTATGTTATATCTTCTTTTCCATCAGTGAAGTGTAGACCACTGTACATCATTGTAACGTGAAAGTAACAATATGGCGGCAATGCCTGTTAAGAAGAGGATGACGTGTGTTTCGCATTTCTGTCGTCAAATAGCACTGCATCACAAGGCAACCGGGTGTCTCATTGTAGGTCTAGTGTTTTTTCACATGCTTTTACGTGTGACATTACACTTAATTATGTTCTTATTCTCTAAATCAGCAGTGGAATACGCGTTATTTACTCTTTGTGCTTATGAACAAGAGAATATTAATTTAATATGTATTTAAATAGAAAGTACTTATTTCCTTAAAGTAACCTTGGGCACCTATGTAATGAGACCTGACTTCTCTTCAGGGGATATAAGTAGGATGTCCTAGTGTTATGGTGTACTACAACAAATGTATGGGCGGCATTGAATGGATTCCCTGTTGGCATTGTATCGCACTAAAATCAGACTTAAAACAATTGTTTACCATCAATCTTTTGGATCTCACTGTCGCCAATTGAGGGCTGCTGTACGGAAGAGATTGTGAAGCTTGCGGGATAGGAAATATAAATAAATTATCCCTGCTATATTGCAAGTTGTGCATACAAAACAAGAAGACACAGAAGAAAAGAGGAGGACCAACATCATTTTTGGGAAACGAAATTGAAAACAAAAGGAAATGAGGTCTGACGTGCATCATACCAGAGAAAGGAGGAATGAGATAGGCCTCTGGCCGCACTGTTTATTTTGTGCATAGATAATATTGTACATATTTTGACCATTTTACTAATAAACTAAGTATTTCTAACAATCAAACTGGTTTATTGTTTACAAATGTGTGTTTACTAGCTGAAAGTGTACCTCCAAAGAATTACTTCTGGACACAACTGCCCAAAGTAACAAAGCATTTTTGAAATTTTAAAACAAAAATAGTTTCTAAATGTACTCTACGGTTTCAAGAAGCATGTTTTGCACTTATAAATTATTTTTTGACACCAAAATACCAATGTAGACAGTAGAGAGTTCAATAATCGGAAAACGCTAATATCATTTCCAACATCTGTTAGGCGTTTGAGTGTGTCCAAGAGGTATACCAAGTCAGAATTGCGAATCATTTGTTTGTGCATCATAACCGGCTAAATTGTAAATCTCCAAAGAAATTTTTCTCTGAATCTGATCAACCTTTTCCTAGTACGAGTGTTTTATTTATAAAACTTAAAATATTCAATGAGATCTTTGCCATATTTTCCTTTCTAGAATGAGCGCCGCTTAAGAACATAACATTAACGAACACCACCTAGATATTCCTAGTATCTAGGCGGTGTTGCATTAACCCCTCTATGGAGAAGAGGCAGTGTGAGAAACACGTACGGGAGTGAACACCTTTTACGAATGAATCATCTTCGTTACCCAATCTCGAGTTTGAGAATGACGCTTAAATAAGAATATGTAATTCTCATTTTAAGAACCCTCTATGAATTCGGCCTATTAAAAAAATCAGTCCACTTGGAGATGCTGAGACCATTTATGGCCGTCAGCTGGCTGTTCCAGTTAGTTCGCTGCATCCCTGCGGCAAGATTCCTTCCCATGATTCAGTTCGCCGGGTCTCGTCTTGTGCACTAGGCCGCTAATGACAGCCAGGTGTCGTGCTTGTGTAATTTACGTCTGAAGAGACCGTTCGGTGAGACGACTTTGCGTGGTTGTGCAGGCGCATGGGGCCCTCCAAAGAGAGATTAATGTCTTTATTTGTGGCAGGCGCATGCATTAGGCCGGCTCTCCCGGTTAACGCACCTTAATCAATTTACGTTTGGGGTGTCTCAATTTTTAATCTATCTGGGAGGAGGAATTCCACGCATGGAAGTGGGGGGGTTTTTTTTAGGGGGAAAATGAATCATCAAGGCATGTTATATGGCTGATTTTGTAAAAAAGGTTCATTAACCGGAAAACAAACCATCCACAAAATGAAGTTCTTCTGTATGGAACTACATCACAGTTTAAAAGAAAAATTAATAATGGCGCTTTTTTTATCACGGTAAGAGGGTAAAACGGCCACGAAAAATCAGTCTTATTCCCATAATTAGAAGTGGCCTGAAGGCCCTCACAAGGTTTGGCCGAGGAAATCGAGTCGGGAAAGCCGCGCTTCTTTGACCGACCGGATGGAAGTGCCACCCCCTTGGACTTGTTTTAATGCGATTGATTACATCACAGAAACTGGCTTATGCTAAGTGGATGAATGCCGAAATCATATTAGTGAACGCGTCAGTTAAATGCCCTAAGTAATTGGGTAAAGAACTTACTATTCTATTCGCACCATACGGTAACTAGTGGGCAACTGAGGGGGTTTCAGCGCCCTTGGCTACGCAGCGCACTACCCAGTCTACGGAGACGGGAAGGGGGGTTGCGCCTTGATTGAAGCGCGGAGGAATGAATAATGGTTTAATGCGGTGTGTAGAATTCACGGACATGATAATATAAATAGTTATAAATAGCATATGTGTCTTTTTTGTTTTGTAATAGACATTGTTTGTGGAAGTAGTGGTTGTAGACGCTGCATACAATATTACAAAGTGTACGAATGTGGAATAATAAGTGTCTTTCAATTTTGTATTTTTTAATGTATTGTTACTAATCATTCCATGTGTTTGTACGTATAATATTTGTAGAATCACTTAATTTTGCAATTAGATTGTTGTGGTTTGGTTGTTCCCTGTGACCTAGTGTCTAATGAGCTTAATAAAAGTGTTTTGTAACTTTTTACTGAACTGTTTAAATAAATCAATGCCTTCATTTCATTTGTAGTGCGGGAGAATTGAATAAAACGGCTCTACGAAAATAAGTATGTAGATTGTCGTTGTCACGAGCCAAGATGAATGCTTCTGTCTGCCAAAGGTGGCGGCATCCTGAAAATATTGAGAGGCTTTTCCATTGTTTCCAAAATGAATAATTTATTGTCAAATTTTAATTTTCTAATCCTACAGTTCTTCTTACCAAACATTTATGAATTTAATAGTTATGGCGTCCTGCGATTTTTCACTGGACAAGTCAAATATTATTTCACATTTTAATGCAAAAGACCAATTCCTACAAAACGTTCTTCAGCTAAGCGAATTTAATTGAGTAGTTTTTAAACGATCTGAAGCTGAAAATGTATGAAAATGGTGTGTATCCAAATTTTAGAGCCATGCAGATAGTTCAGAGAATTCCAATTTTTTTCAGTGTATGTGTTTAATATTTGCTCAACGCAGTTTAGAATATTAATTACTAAGAAATAATTAGTAAGGTATTCGTGACAGTGGCAAAGCAAGGTTCAGTACAGCAGGGAGGG